CTCTATTTGCGTCCTGCTTGCCATGGACCATGGTTGCACTCTTTCGATGGGCGATTGTGAAAAAGAGATTGATTTTTATATTGATAAGAGATATCATTCCTATAATTCTTCCTATGGCTATTTCCGATCCCAAGAATACGATGTTGTTTTCAATGTCATTATCTTCCCTTCCTTTGATTTAGTGTAGATAAAGTGGAAGCTCTATAGGACAAGTGCTTGGGGCTATTTTGAAGCTATGCTACATAGGAAGAGATAGCGGCGGGTGGCTAGTAGCTTTGCTTTTGTTATTACCTCCTGCTAGCGCTAGTAGTTAGCTTTAGGAACCATTTTCAAGAGGTAGAATAGCAAAATAGCGTTGCTTTAGTAGTAGTGTACAACCAAGCAGGCAACGCTAGGAAGTGACCTTTTTTTTTTTCGTTCTACGTATCTAACTAATCTATACTACTACTAACTATAGTCAAACTGCATCTATTAGAGGGAACTAGCATTGTATGGGTTATATATTTTGTGGTACTAGAACCATAAGGCTCACTATACTTTGTGTGAACCCCTGAACGAAGCTTTACCCATTTCTTGGGTAAAGTCTCCCAACTATATTCTGGTCGCCAATTTTGGCTTATAGCTCAAGCTATACATCTGCAAAAAAGGTAAGGAAAAAATACATTGTCTAGGGTTTACGGTTTAGGGAAAAACAAATGCATTGTCTGGTCCTTTGATAATTCAAATGATCACTGCACGTCCGGCGGTCCATTTCCAAAGAGTAATGATATCAAAAGGCCGACAGATTCATGCATTTTCAGATATTTTTTGTTCTGGGAAATGGATCTAATTCAATTTTTGTAAGCTGTTAAGATTATCTGGTATTGAATGCATGGCAGCATAACTGTTGAGTTCCAGGTGAAGGACTCACAGAAAACTGTTGAAGTTATGGTTTCACGATTAGTCTTGTGAGTTTATCCTTACTCACAGAAAACTGTTGAAGTTATGGTTTCACGATTAGTCTTGTGAGTTTATCCTTATTCCAAACTTTGTATTAAGCAATTTTCAATTTGGAAGCAAAGAGTTTTTTTTCTTGTTTTTTAATCATCAGTGGTCGTGCACGAGATTTTAACCTACTATCTCCTCTAACATAGTTAGAAAGTGAAAATTGCGTGCCACTAAACTAAACGAACATGGATAATTGAAGAGTTAATTAGATGATAACCACACCATTTTTCTCTCATGCACACCTGTGTTTAATCATGTCATTGTTTCCATTTAATTTATAATCAATCTAATAGCCATAAATCAAAAGAAGTGTGTAGAACGAGAAAAATAGTGTGTGAAGAGAATTGATTTATGCACTCCCCTTGAACCAGCTACACTTCCTTCTCGTTGCTAGCCACTAAATTGAATAATAAAAGGAAAACTGAAGGACATTATTGTTAACTTATTATGAGGCTTAGCCCACTCCTACACTAAATTCAATAATATCGTTTGTTAAAAAAAAAATGGAAAACTGAAGGGCGAAATTTTAAAAAAGTGCAGCAGGTGTTCTTCTCCATAATTACTGCATAGGAATGTAATTTCTCATTGTAATTAGTGTAGGATTCCTACCAACTTTGTATGTATGGTACTAATACCATTATATTGTAGTATTAAGGAGCACTATTTTCATATGTTAATACAAGGAGACATAATTTTACAAGGTGTCCCTCATCTTGGTTTTCTCTTAGGTCTAGGTTTTTCTTTTCTTATGGAGGTAAGGCTAGCCGACATTCACCTCTCCCAGACCCTGCGTAAAGCGGGAGCCTTGTGCACTAGGTACAACCTTTTTATGGCGTCGTCTTCTTCCTCCCTCCCGGCCAAAACACTGCAACCTTCCTTAAACTTGCTTTAAACTTTCTACCATCAAATACATTGTGAGGGTTCGTCAACTCAAAGTCTTTGGTCACGATCTCTTGAAATATGTAGAATGTTCTTCTCCTCTCCCCACCCATCATTGCCAATCCTATATACCTCGACGTCTGTCCTCTCTCTCCCCATAAAACAACTCTTGTAGAAAAGGAAAAAAAAAATTCAATGTGTCATAAGTCGTTGGATACTTAGATTTTTTTTTTAACAACTTGAATTATGATACTTGGTGTATCGGACGTGTTACTGGCACATTGAAAAGTTTCTCATAGAATAGGGGTCATTTTCATTGTGTGCTGCTTTTGTACATTTGTGGTTGGTGCGAGCTCATGGGCTTTGTATCTTGGATTCTTATGGTTCTTATTTTATGGCATAAATATATTACTTGTTATTTTTAATGCCCACCCGTGCAATTAATTCTAGATCATGTGTGTGTCCTTAACCTATAATCGCAACTGCTCAACCCAATATTTGAATCTTTTAATCTCTAATTATTTCTTTTGTGTTTTTAATGCTGTATTAACTAATGAATTAGAAATTGTATGAAGGTTGGGTGGATCATGGCCTAAAAGCTGTAGAGCAGAAAACCAGCATGCAGGGACCGACCTTACATGCGTGAACAGATAATATATTAGATTACAGCTAATTAACATATTAGATTCACATTGTCCATTCATTACCCACATGCTTTATTTGGTTTGTTTGGTCGTCTACATCCAGACATGATATAAGGAGACGAGTTCAGTACTATTGTAGCGTTCCGAGCCTCTAAAACAATGCGACATGAAGAGAGACATGGTCTTGTATTAGTGGTCTAAAATGATAAGATACAATAAATCCGTTTCACTTAAGTTTTTCTAAAACACTCTTAAGCCTTCAACCTTTTATCATTTGTTAAATCTTTCTGCAGAAATCATCCTTAAACCCCGACAATACATTCCTCGACTTAAATCATTTTTAATCTTCTTCCACCGGACCTTAATTCGGAATGCTGAAGTTTCACTTCCGGGGTGGGAAAATGGGGATTTAAACTATTTTGCTCCAACGGGGAAGCTACATAGGGCTCCCCCTCTTTTAAGAAGTGGAAAAAATGTGTAAATCTACATTATATTTAGTCACTCCCTTGAACACGAATATTGACAAAGTGCTAAAAGTGGTAGTAACTCGAAAGGAATTCCTATGAATAGAAACAAAGAGCGGTAAAAACGATAGTAACACGAGGAATTCCTTTCGAGAATCGAAGTGGGATTGCATGTAAGCACAATTCCCATGCGACTCAGATCTCAACCGTCCTATGAATAGCAACAAAGAGCGCTAAAAGTGATAGCAACTCAAGAGGAATCCCTCCAGTGAATTGAAGTGAGATTGCAAGTGAGCACACTTCCAATGCAACTCAAATTCCAACCATCCTACGAATAATAACAAAGAGAGCTAAAAGTGATAGTAACTCGAAAGGAATTCTTTTAAAAAATTGAAGTGGGATTACATGCGATCACAACTCCAATGCAACTCAGATTTCAACCGTCCATCTTTTAGGTTTCTTTTCAAATATTATCCTGCGAAAAAATAATCGAAAACTATTGATTCTTATATGGAATCAAAAAACAATAAGGGGGGGCTCTCCATACTTGCATTCACTTTCTATTGCAGTGTCGCCATCTCAATAGAAGCTAGCTAGTAGGTGTTTTATCTTGAAGGAAAAAAAAATAAAATAAAAAATAAAAAGGGGAAATTTCCAGCTAGGGGGCCTTAAAAGGCTTTTGTTAGGCACTGAGATTTACAAGGGGTAGAGAGGAAAGGGGACCATTATAGACAGATGGGCAAGTACCAGAATTTTGGTGGTATCCATCTGGGTATTCTCTCTCCATAATTGAGAGTTTTTGTGATCATCCCAATACCCTCCCTGTCATGGCTCCCTCCTCCAGCAGATGTACTCCACTTAACCCCACTTGGTCTTTACCCTACTCATTCTATATTACATAGACCATGACCCTTAGATTCCTTCAAAGCATGAACACACCCTTGTGTCAAAACTCAAATGTAACTTTGAAGGGAGACTTATCTACACCGGTTATGCCTCCAGGGGCGTGCAACTCTGACAGTGTCTCAAACTAATGATGCAATGTTATGTGAAAAAGCTGAAATGCAAGTTGTTCCAGTGATTTTAAAGGAACAACCTTTACTAAGGTGGCTATCACATCGGATGCGTCCAGTGTGAAATCCAGTGATATCAAAATACAAGGGGTCACCAGTTTTTATGAATGGTGTCCTACAGATGATGCAGTCAGACACCCTACCCAAGTCAGTTAAACCAAACTAAGCTAGTTGAACTAAAATTCTACCAGTTGGGGTAAAAAAAAAAAGGGATTCAATGTAGGTAGAAAGATTGACAGTTATTCTTGTTGGAGTCAAAGTGCAGACAGGACCATGTTCAGCTCACACTCAATTGGGTAAATGTGGTTTTCAAGATTCATCAAACTATGCTATCACTTTCACACAAACAAGAGCTGTTTTAGCCATTTCAAAATCCTAGTCTCCACATTCAAATTTTACTCCTTATATACTGCAATGCCAAAGCAGAGCAATATGGAGCTAAAAGGGAAAACCCTGCTTAAGTTGGGAATTTACCATAGATTGCATCTTTGGGAAGAAAATGGACTTAAACAACAAGCTATTAGTCTACTCCATCCCCAACAATTTCTACTGTTTATGGAAAATGACTTCTGTTCCATCTTCGGAAACAAGGACAGAGACTTGCATGAAGCGAAAGGAAAGGAAAGGAAAGGAAACGATAGAGATGGAAAAGCCAATACATTCTGCTTCAATTTGTTTTTGAAGGTTTGAGGCAAGCTGCTGAGGACTATGTACCCTTTCACTCAAAAGTAGTAAAGAACAAAAGAATGACAAAGGGAACTACAGACTCTCTTTCTCCCAACGAAGTTTACTATTTCCAAATGAGATGAAGAAAAAAGGCCCCAATTCCCTTTGTGCTTCTCTTTCATTTCTGGAATAAAAGAGGCTAAAATCTGCAAATTTCCTATATTGGGTGATCTGGGGTTCTCTCAAACTTTCGGAAGAATTCAGAATTTGGGGGCTCGGGTTTGTGCTAATGTATCAAAACACAGAATTGCATTTAACTCTAGGAATGAAACAAGTCAAATTTAGCAACATACTGCTAGTCTAGCAACAGAAACACAAATCCAACATAGAACAAGCAAAAAGTTTGAGCTTTGAGAGCTCATCTCAAACGTGAAAACAGAACTTCTAAAACAAGAAGCAACAAACTGATGAAATAAAAGCTAAAACGAACCGAGGGATCGATAAAAACCCGAAAATGCACTCAGATTTCTTCTTCCCAAGGCGCACGCCATTGAACAAAGCGACCGAAAAATCGTCTCCTGGCCATATATGAATTGGAAACCAACAGGTAGCTCTTGTAATCTCTCTGTGGAAGGCAGAGATGAGATGAGAGCTTGAGCCCTGCAATAACACAAACCAACACAACAAGCTAACAATGTGAAAATTCATCCAAAACAAGCAAAACGGACTTGAAAAACAGAACCAAAATTTGCAAAGGTAGCACCTTTTGAAGAGAAGTTCAGTCCATTTCTTTGGTTCAATGGCGAGAATTGGAGGAAGCAGAGGACGGCTTGTCGGAAGTACCGTCGTGCTCCTCCTCGCCGTGAATTCGTGCCGGGATGTGGAACCCGGAGAATCCGCCTCCGGAGGCGAATCCCATGCCGGAAATGGACTGTTGGTGATGAATGGATTGCGAGATTTGATGATGATGGTCGTGAGAAATGGATTGTTGGTTTTGCTGGTCCACCATCCAAGCACGAACTGACGGCGAGTTACTGGACTGAAGGGGTCCCCTCTGAGAAAAGAACTGACTTTGGCCGAACAACGACGGCTGCTGCTGTTGCAAAGGACTAGTACTACCCTGCTGTGTTGGTAGCAGCGAATTGAATATAAACCCGCCTGCCGACGATGGTCCGCCGTTACCACCGCTGTCCCAAGCCACCATTCTCTGGAATCTGTTCATCTCTTGCTGTTGTTGGTTGTGGTGATGCTCTGCCCACGAGCCGGGGGACCCATCAAACCCGAGCTGGTTTTGGGATCCGGAGAAAAGGGTTTGCTCGTTTTGATGGGTCTGAGCGTGGTGGTGCTGATTTTGGGCGTCGTGGTGGTGGAGGAGAATTGGGTCTTGGAAGGACTGCAGGGAGAGGCGCAGATCTTGGCTCTGGCTGCTGGCTTTAGAGAGCAAATCAGGTGGGTAGTTCTGATGGAACTGTATCGTCGACGATGGAGACTCGGCGGCAGCTGCTGCCGCGGAAGCACCCATTGGGAAAAAGGACTTGATGGTGTCTGCAATGGCGTCCGAGTCGAGCGACGGTGGGAGGAAAGTCGAGTTGCTATTTGGGCTCTGAGCAAATTGCTGCTCCGAAACTCCACTCCCCACCATTGTTCTTCGATTAGCAGACCCAATTGCGTCCACTGCCGCGAAGCAGTGGATGCCGGTGGCGGACGGGTTCTGGGTCTCCATGGCTGGAACAGCCGCGGTGGTCGAAATCGAATGTGGGTTCCATGAGGGAAGCTCCTCGAGCTCGTCTATGGCGGCCTTGGCCTTCTTGATTAGCCAATCGACGGCCTTGCTGGGTCGGTCATACCCAAGCCGGTCCTGGACGTCGTAGAACTGAATGGCGGTGTGAGCGGCGAGCCGGACGCGGCGGTCCCTCGGGCCTTTTGCCGTGCAAACCTTGCTGTGCCTGTCTTTCCGGCCCGTCGCCCGGACAATGTGGCTGCCTCGTACCACCTCCACGATGTCGGTGCTGACTCCTCCGCCGGATGACGGCGGCCTTATCCCCAGGCGAGACGACGTGGTTGCTTGGTGGTTGTTGAGGTGGTGGTGGTGGGAATCTCCCATTTTTGATCTTGCATATTCGATGCTCTGTTCCACCAAAGTTGAAGAAGAAGAAGAAGTGAAGCTGCGTTTCTTTGGAGCTCTCTGCTGGGTTTGCTGCTGTTCTTGCAGCTGCAACTGCCGGGTTTCTCCAAAGAAATGCTGCTGGGTATGTGGGTCTTGGTGAAGATACGGAAAGTTGAAAGCTTGGTGGTGATTCTGCTGGGTTTGTTGCTGGGTTTCTTCTTCTTCTTCTTCTTGGACAAGATGGTTAAAATTGAGAATTGGGTTTTGGTGGAGATAATGGTGGTGGTGAATCCTTTGAGGATCCAGAGTCAGACCCTTGTGATTTTCCTCTTCCAGTTTTTAATGGAACAGTACAAGTGCTTCTGCTTCTACAAACAAGTACTTTTGCAAATAGACTTTTTTTTTTGCTAGTGGTTTTTCTTTGCTGGTGTGACCTCCTGATGCTTGTGCTGCCACCTCCCCTCTGAGCCCTGAAGCTGCTTCTGCTTTTCCTGGTTCTGCTTCTTCTGCTTCTGGTTCTCCCAAAAGGTTCTGCCATTCAATGTTTTCAGTTCCATATCACAAACAACCCCACCACCACCACCAATTTTTTCCAAAAGGGTCCTCCCGTAATTAAACCCAAACCAGACTAAAAGAGAGAGGCTAAACCAGCTCCCTTGCCTGCCTAACCCATCTCTCTCTCTCTCTCTCTCTCTCTCTCTCTCTCTCTCTACTTTTGGTATTTGTGCCTCTTAATTGTGCACTTGCTTCTTCAGCCCTATTATGTGGACTGACTCACTTGACCTAATTACCAAAACTGGTCATAGGGGTTAACAATAGCCAGCAGAGCAGGCAAACCCAACAACAAAAAGACCAAATCCCAAATTCTAGAGAGAGAAAGAGAAAAATTGGGGGGAATTATAGGGGGAAGATGAGTGAAATATACAGTTTAATTGGTATTCTCCTATGGGTATAGTATAGGGGGAGTTTATGATGGCAGTGGTAAGGTTGGCAGTGTTTGGTCAGAAAGAGGATTAAAGATCTCTGTGATCTCATCATTGCGTCTTCTCTCTCTCTCTACTGTATATCTACACGTCCTCCACCACACTAGTACTACTTCCACTCTCTACATACAACTACACAAAATACCGAAAAGAAAAAGACCAAACTATTTTGTTTTGGGTTTTCTCCATTTATTTCAATCAGTCAGCTCCAAAATTTGACTCCTTCCCCTTATTTACCCTTTTCTTTTTAACTCTCCTATGGTATATTAATATTTTTCGTTCACGTGGAAGTATAAGGTTCAAATTTGACTCACATAAGTTGTGTATTCGAAACCAAAGAGTTATAGTTGAGGTATTATGTAGGTTAAGCCAAATACCCCCACTTTTAGAATAGAATGTCATTGCATAAACAAAAAAATACTTCTCTACGAAGGAAAACACTTCAGTTGGGGTGAATCACATAGTTTTTACGGTAACTAATTGGAATGTTCATTTTTTAAGAGTTGGTTGAAACAATGATCAATTTTTACATATCGTCATTATATCATTATTGTGTGATTGTTATGTCGTCGATATGTCGGCATAACTAAAGACTGATCATTTCTGCAACCAAATGTCAAAAAATTGATTATGACAACTAATTACCCTAATTTTTAAAGCACTTCTCACAAAGATATGAGCCTTACTATGTTTTTCTTTCACCTTGATCAATAGACTTACACACACCATGTAACACCAATAGTATAATCATATGTGAAAATTAAAATATATAGCATTGCGTGTAAGTACTTAATACACATGTTCAGTTCAAGAATTGACCTAATCAGACAAACATATCGAAGTTTCTATCCCATAACCTCTCTAGCAGTTGTTATAATTTTCAGGTTTTATGGTGGACACAAGTTTTTTTTTTTTTTTTGAACAAAATATATTATTTACACTAAGGGAAAGAATGTGAGATTAGCCTCACAATCGGCTAGTAATAATGTGGCTCAAACCTACATTTGACGATAATCGAACATAAAATATTTCATTTACAAGTAAAGTAAAATACCATTAGATCGTAATACTAAGTGACTTAGTGAACACAAGTTAGAACCGTTGGTTTGAGGTCAAGGGCACTCAGTGTCTGCACGATGCTTCGGTAGATTAGATCCTTTATATGCCACCATCCACGCCTTCTGAAAGTGACCCCCCCTTCCACCTTTTTATGTTCTCTCTCTCTCTTCCCTTGAAAGAAGGTTAAGCAAAAGCAACAACGTCATATTTTTCTGTTTTTTTTCCTGTTTTTTCTTTCTTTTGCTTAAGCTTCAATGCCCTTCTTACAGACCACTTTTTTTGTATATTTATATTTACTGATTACTTTACAATTTACATGGTGTTTTTGGAAACTGTCTTTTCTTTTTTCTCATAGTACTCTTTTGACAATTTAATGTAATCTTGTATGGATCAAAAGATTTTAGCTTATAAAAATAGCATCTTTAGTGAAAAATAAAGATAGTATAAAAGTAACATATGCAAAAAATCATGTTTATATTTCTTTCAACCTTGCAATGCTAGCAAAAATTGGATGGAGGATTTTAATTTTTTAATATTTTTCTATCAAGTGTTAGTGTGTGTGTAGAAAATATTAAAATATTAAAAAATTAAAAAGATGAAGGAGAAGTAATTTGAGGTGTGTGAATATAATTTCTTTTCGTATTATTAAGGTGAATTGTGATGAAGCGTGTCGTAAGAGAAGAAGTGGTTTTGGATGGGTGGCAAGGGATTTTATAGATAAGACCGTTTTGAGTCAAAATGATTGTTTAATACTTTAACCTTTAATGTAAATATTTATATTCGAATTCAATTAAATTTTCTATCGTTCGAATCTATTTTTTATATTATGTTGTTGAACCCTGCTATGATTGCCATTGTAAAAAAAAATTGATAGTGACAAGAGATTTAGACTAAGTTTTTTTAAATGATAATTTTGGTGGACTGAAAAATACGGATATCTCGAAAATTTACCTTGTTTAAAAAATAAAAAAAAAGTGCAGTCCTAAGTTATAAAAGACTTGCGCATGCTTATTGCATTGTTACGTGCATACGAGTGTATGAACAAGCTCGATGAGGGTTTTCTTCTAATTTTATTGGATGTCCACAAATAATTCATGCTTTCGTAAGTATTATTATTAATATTTTGCTTCTGTTTTCTTTTTTCACAAGAACAATATGATATAAAATAAATGATATATATGTTTAATTTCTAGAAAGAAAATTGTTCTCTTTGAGAGAATGGTTTTCTTACTTTTTGCTTAATTTTAACACACAATTTTCCTTTAGTTATGTGAGAGGTTGGTATAGACAATTAGACATCAACATTTTTCAGTTTACCATTTTACCAACAGTAGGAAACCTAATCAAGAAGTGGTGCTAATTAGGGAGATAACATCATGCTAGTTCGACCACTGACCACTAACCCTAATCAAGGTTGTTACTTAGGGTACATTAAATTTATTTATTTCTGAGTCCTCATCATGCTCCATTCTTCAAACTTGTCTTAAAACTGGCTTTTCCAAGTTTGATTGGCTGCAACAATTCAAGGCAAGATGATCATGGCATTTCTTTACTAAGCGTGGTTAAATTGAACCATAACATGGAAGTGACCTCAGTAAACTTTTACAATGTTTTTTAATGTTATGACAGCATGATAGAAAACGATAGTTTTGCTCGTGAGGATCAATTTTAAATGTCCAATTGATTTATTTTGTTTGGAATCTTGGCCCGCTTTCAACAAAAAATAATTTTTTGCGTTTTGAATCTTTTTCTTCATGTCCTTTAATAATTGTACTACTCTGTCCCGATCATCTAAACTATCTATTAATAAAATCATCTTTGTCAACTAAAAAATACTAAAAGTATCAAATTAACCCTGTAAACAAATTAAAGAGAAATAACAAAAATAAAAGTTATGGGCAATATAGTGAACTAAACACAAAATCATTTTACTTTTTGTTCAAAGCATCAAAGCCAATTGCCCCCATTTTCTCTTTCACGGTTTTCTCTCAATTAAAATAAACTTTTAATGATGAAATAATTATTTTAAAAAAAATCTCTAAAGACATAAATAGCCTTTTCACGACGAAAAATCATTTGAAGATTGTTACCAAAAAAATTTTACCGATTATTTTATATTTTCTCTTTTTTTTTCTTTTCAAAATTTTAATAAACACAAGCGTGTACAATCGCTAGTAAAAGATAATAACAACACTAGTAGGCAAAAAAACTCACTCTCAACTCAAAGCATGTTGGTCAATTCCAAATTGGTTGTGTGTGATGGATCTACTTGTTTTAGTATTGTCGAGATCCTGTGGTGGTTTTAGAGGCTTGGGATACTCTTTACGGTGTCGAGAGGTCGTTCGTCGACAATTCCCTTCCTCGTATTCTCATTTCCATTTCAGGTTACCACTTTGTTTATTTAAATAAGAAAGTTCTACATGACATTCTTAATGTATAAAAAAAAATGGGATTCACCAAGGGGAGTTGGAATGTAAAAGTATGAATAAGAATCAACTTTTCATGCCAAAACTATATTCAACTTTTTTTTTATGACGAAATATAAACTTATTTTGTACATGCGTATTTTAGTAATCAAACTAATTTTTATTCTGATTTTTTGTAGTTATTAGTAAACAAGTTATGTGAAATCAACTTTATTTTTATTTTATTTTTTATTTGAAAGAAATTTACTATTATTAGGGGAGGGGGAGAGTTCGAAATTGACACGCCCTGACCCTGATATTCCTCGAATACCATGATAGACACGTGCTGGCTGACACCCGAGGGTGACGAAAGCCATTAATTGATACAAAAGCTAAGAATAAGAAGTAAATAAAGGTTATGAATTTAAATACAATGAGTTAATAATTTAGGAACGTGTTCAGAACATACAACTAACTAGAACTCTAAAAGAATTAATATAAAATTGAATAAATAAGAGGATGTAGGTCCTACACCGAGATGACTCGAATATGCCAATGCGAAAGCGTTGATGTCGGGATCGTATGCCTCGATTCTAAATCCTGAAAAGGGGCACAAAACAAGGGTGAGTGGACCAAGTTTATATACATACATAATACAAAAATAGTTATAAACATACTAACCCCCAAAGTTTTAATAATGAAAACTACTAGCATAATAAATGATAGGTTTCTCTGAAAATCCTAGCATGCCCTAAACATCTCAAAAGACATATCATGGAAGACATCGCGGAAATCAAAACATCACTAGTCTCACAGATCATCTCCTAAGCGTGGTGTGCTGCCAGTAAGATCACTGAATAATACTCCTGGCCCAATGCCTGCACCTAAGTCTATGTGCCCGTAGCCATAGATAACTCCATCCCGGCCCCATGCCTGTCTCCGTGTCCCTCAACTTTTTGCTAGGGATTATTTCTCCCAGCCTAACTGCCAACACCAGATCCTCGCCCCAGGTGGCATAGTGTCCATTAGGTATGCACAAATAGTTACGCCTCTCACAAATAACCACTTCATAGTATAAAGTCATACATCGTCTATACTATAAAGAAGGGTTTCTAAAACATGTTGTAGCATCCTATTATCATCCATCAAATAGTCTACCAGTTCATGGTTTTTATAGAAATACGATATATCAAACTATAGCTCAATATAGGCTAACAATTAATTCCTTACAAAATAACGAGACGATAATCAACATTTCAGTAAACATGCTTAACATAAAATCAGTTCATAAACTCATAAGGCATGCATTTCATTTATGCTAATAAACTATAAAATTATGTAATTTTAGAAGGGGTCCACTCACAGTACTTAGCCGTCAGAAATTACGCCACTAGTGAAGACGGAAACGTCACAATAATTGCCCATAAGCACATAAATAGCACATTTAGTCAAACTCTACTTAAACGATTTAATTTGGGAAAACGGACATCGGAAACAGATTTAGGACGTCGAAATTAGCCTAGGGGGTCTCAGACGAAAACTGAAAGTCAACCCGAAAATCAAAGTCAACGGGTCAGTCAATTGGGTCAGACTAGGTCAACGGGTTTTGAGCTTGGATCCGAATT